GGTGTATATATATTAATAGGTATATATATATGGTGTTGGCCATCTTGGATTTTGACATGGAAACAATATTTTTAAGAGCAACCTTTCTTGTGCGTTGATGCAGCCACGCTCCGAAATGGAAGTTTGTAGCTCGTTTATTATTCTACTTATGGTTCTCACAACACAAACAGACCGAGAGTGTTTCCAGTTCCTCCTCTTCACTCAGCGACGGAGGTCCAAGAAATAAAACCAGCAAAGTGAGCCGTTGTCTGATGGGGAGTTTATCACGCTGGTTGGAAACTTTAACATGAACAAAGTGGGAGTTTTCCACACATGAGAAGTAGAACCAGATCAGAGCCTTGATCCCTGATGTTCACCTCCTCCTGACATCAGAGCTCTTCTTCAAACCCAACAAAGACTGACTGCTGGAGACAACAAATGTCAAGCATCTCTTCTTTGCTTCATGCCGTGTTTGAAACAAGACCAAACAGAAACATGCTTGAACGTGAAGAGTCATCTTAAATATGTAAAGTTCATATTTTCATTATAGTTCCAGTAGCTTCTAATGATCAGGTTTGTAGCTCATTCAGTCAGAACTCACCGCACATGAACTGCTGCTGCTTCGCTTCTTAAACGGTTCCACTTGGACAAGCATGGATGCCCCACACAGAAACTGTAGAAAAGCTGCTCCCAGTGAGCCCCGAGGCCGCTCGGACCGATCATTTAATGGACGCAGTTCGTCACTCCACAGAGAGGTGAAGCAGCCCAACGAGGAGTTGTTGAGTAATCCTCGTTCAGACTCGAACTGTGGGGGAGGAAACAAAAAGGCTTTCTTCTGTTTTACGAGGTGACATTTCATGCGTCAGTGAAATACCCTGATGCTCTGAGTGCGGACGGCTGCTCAGAACTTTCATCACAATCAAATCCTATAACGTTTGATGTCATTATCAACTCCCCCAGCTCAAAACTGTCGCTCAAATAAACCGGTAAGAGCAAAAGGACATAAGAAGAACTTAAGAAGAACATAAGAAGAACATAAGAACTGCTGAAGGGAAAGTTCCAGGAGGATGAGGTTGTGGCTGCGTCTTGGTTTGGGCTGAAACTGGAGGAAGAATGAAACATCTGGACCAGAGGTGAACGCCTGACTCCCGCCGACACGAGCAGAGCTGCGAGTCTGAAAACTGGCATGTCGTGTTTTAGAGACGAAACGTCCACAAATGAAGCAAATCAGCTGAACGGCTCTTTGAGACGCCAACGATGGGGGGGGCGTTCTTGTAAACATACTTTTTGGGGACTTTGCATTGACTGCCATTCGTTTTCTATAGCCTAACCCTGACCCTTACCCTACCCTAACCATTGCTAGTACATGCCTTACCCTAACCCATCCACAATTCACACCTTAGTCCCCCCCCCCCCCCCCCAACGAGACTTCTCCTCATGGGGACCTGGCTTTGGTCCCATAAAGAAGAGCTGGTTCCCACAATGCATGATTTTTTTGTAAAATTGGTCCCTACAAAGTCACCTGAAACAAAAAATAAAACACACGCATGCATGTGCACAGTGTGTGTGTGGGAGGGTGTTGCACACAATCTACATTAATCTTCTTTTTACACTGAGTGAATCTGAAAACCAGAGCACAAGGGGAGGATGTCAGACTATGTGGGCGGGGCTTATTTATTATGCTCAAACCACGTTGTGTCACCATGTGAGCACAAAATTACTCATCAGAGCCAAAGAAATCTGCAGCAGCATCTGGATGTTTTTTCTGATCAGTAAATATGTGAAGCAACGTGGGATCTTTGGAAAAACATTTTTTATCCAACCTTTATTTCTACATGTTAGTCTCACTGAGCCTCAAGGACTCATTTACAAGAGAGACCTGTTTTTAACAAAGAACACAGTTGACAACAGTAGACAGTCACAAAAAGAACATATAAAGTAAAATGAAAAGTAAATTGAACAAATGAAACAAGAACTAAACAAAAACATCTACATTATAAATCAATTTAAAATACTGAAAAAAGGAACTGCATCAGTTTTTGTCATGAACTTAGCAGTTCATAGGTAGTTCATAGATAATTCACAGATTGTTCATAGATAGTTCATAGATAATTCACAGATTGTTCATAGATAGTTCATAGATAATTCACAGATTGTTCATAGATAGTTCAAAGATAATTCACAGATTGTTCATAGATAGTTCATAGATAATTCACAGATTGTTCATAGATAGTTCAAAGATAATTCACAGATTGTTCATAGATAGTTCATGATAGTTCATAGAT